AGTCTTTTGTTTGTTTACTAAAGAAGTTTTTTCTGGAGAATTTATTATCAATAAATAGTAATACATTATATTTTTCATTTTTCTCTTTACTACCATACCACCGTGTCATTCAGCTTTTCAGTGTTTTTTTCGAATCATTTCTACAGTGCATTGGCCAAGTGCATTTTGTGCAGAAAATATACAGAATGACTGCCGCGTAGAATGGGTTAACTAGATATCCCTCGCACTTGGATATCCCACGAAGTCTATACTCGTGATCGTCGACTTTGTCGTGCAAATTCATCCGAGGCATGCGTCGTCGGATCGTGCAAGCGACGTGCCGACGAGATTCACCGCGGTACTCTTCAGTCTGCGTCGCGACGCGCTTCAAACGCCTTTTCATTCGTTTGGCGAATTTGAACGATCGGCCACGAGGCCAAGAGAGAAACCCTCCCCGGTACCGCGTTTCCTTTCTTTTTTTCTCTTCTTTTTCCTTTCCCTCCGACCCCTGCAATTGTGTGTTGATAACATTTCTCTGTGAACAAACGCGTTTGTACTTTCAGAGGTACGTACGATGTCAAGAATATCAGGGGATCAATTCTCGCCGAATGGCATTTGATTTACACGTTTTTTTTTTGTTTTTTTTTTTTTTTTTTTTGTTTTCACGTAAAAGTAGGAAGGATTCCACTTGCAAGGGGGGGAATGTTAGAAATGCAGGAGATGCATCGACGGCGAGCAATAGCGATTCTGTTGATCCACGTATCGTCCCTTATCCATCTTAACTCTCGTGGATGTCAGACGATGCAAATACGCTAATACTTTTTCGATGGGAAAGCATTCGCCACGTAGGAATTTCATTTCTGCAAATATTTATCGTGCGTGTCCGCTTTTAATATCTGGCCAGCCGCTTTGATGGATTTATTTCGTATTCATTGACGATGAATGAATCGTTCGAAGAAAATCGACGGATGGAACGAATATAATATGCAACTATTTTAAAGGAAACGGTACACTCTTTTCGTTCACCTAATGACAGAAGTATAAGTTTCTCGGCGACAGATCGACAGAAATGTGTTAGTGAGCAAGAAAAGGAAAGATTAGTTGCATAGAACAGAAAGA